GTTTAATGAACAGATATTTATTTTCTCATTGCAGGAGTGGCATCCACTTCCTAAAGAATTCTAAAAACTCTGTGAACTTTGAGAAACAATAGTTAACGAAAGGCTTCAGGTCTTTTGTTCATAGGGTTGATGTGAGTCGTGCTCAACTTGATGGCAATCAGCAACAACAGTGGAGGCTAGAAGTTCAAGTTCAGGACACTGGCTCTAGGCAAAGGTCTCTCTCTGTGGACACTGGGGTAAACATCCTTGTCTAGCTTCTACTCCTTGGTGATCTTCACAAGGCTTGGTATCTAGCTTGTTACATTTCTACTTGTTTATATGCTTATTTAATCTCTTTTGTATTTCAAAAGAGATTGATTTAATTACACTCTAAAACATCAAGAAAACAAAGATTCTCACCACTGGGACAATTGGCAGCATCATTATAGATGGAAAATAGATTGAGATTGTTAACAATTTCTGCTTGCTTCATTCCATGTTCAACACTCTTGGCATCAGCAGTCAGGAAATCAAAAGATGAATTGTATTAGGAAAATCTACTGTCCAGGACCTCTCCAGAGTGCTGAAGAACAAGAATGTCAGTCCAGAGACTAAGTTGCACCTGATCCAGGCCATGGTATTTGCAGTTACTTGCTATACATCAGAGAGCTGGACAATGACAAAGGATGCTAGAAGAAGAATCCATGTCTTTGAGTTGTGGTACTGGAGAAAAGTTCTGAACATACAGTGGACTGCTAAGAGAACTAACAGGTTTGTCCTTGAGAAGGTGGAACCAAGCTGCTCCTTGGGGGCAAGGATTTTTAAGCTCTGTCTGACATACTTTGGGCATATTGCCAGGAAAGACCAGTCCTTGGAAGAAGGACATCATGCTTGAAAGGGTGGAGGGACAACACAAGAGAGGAAGATTTTGGGTGACATGGATTGACACAGTAACTGGAGTAATGGGGTTATGTGTGTCAGAGACAATGAAATTGGCTCAAGATAGGGTAGCCTTCAGAGCTATTGTACGTAGGGTTGCTATGAGTCGTGGGCAACTCAACAGCACATAACAGTAACAACTATACTAATATGACCCCAAAAAATTCACTCCCCAAATGAGGTTATTGCTATAGGTACAGGGTTAGGATTTACAATGCATATTTTGGGGCGGACATAGCTCAATCCATTGCAGGTTTCCAAGGCAATTATGGGGCAGAAATGAAAGACCATAATGTGGAGGAAATAAGCCTCTTAAAAGGATATTCAGCCAGTGGTGTCAGGTACATACACGAAACAACCCACAAATTCTTAAATGAGAGAGATAAAGAGAAACTACGTTCCTTCTATTTGTAATCTTCTATGTGTTAGTCTATAAAGTGAGTGTTTTTTAATGTTTTAATATATACTCACCCGAATACAGGAAATTAGTTATTGAAAAATCAGGAGGCAGAGCAATGTTATAAATAAATGGCTATTGTTATTGTTGTTGTTAGGTGCCATTGATCCGAGTATGACTCATAGTGCCCCTATGAACAAAAAATCTGAACCCTGTTCTATCCTGTGCCAGGCTGGGTTTAGAAGAGCCCATGGTACTAGGATATTTCTGCTAATGC